CGTTTACGAAATAAGGCTACGGCAACTCCTGCTAACCATTCATGAAAGTGTGCGATGATAGCTTTGGATCTTTCGCGTACTACATACTATATATGGATATATAGATATAGATATATGATAAATAAATAAAATATATATAATATAAATGCATCTCGTTGATTAAATGGAACTTACATCGCCTAGAAACCAACCAATCAGGTAACCAAATAGAATTGCATCGTTGGTTTCTGGATCATTTGGCGGAGAAGGGATTCCGGTAAAATTCCATAAATCAGTTTTCCATGAATCAAGCCTATCCCTAACAGAATTTATATCCAAAAGTAATACTTGAGGAGCGCCTTCAGTCAACCAACGACCGTACACCCATTTAACGTTCTGTCTTGTCATTTCATCAAGGATTTCTTTGAAATAAGGATTAGTTACTGGTTCTGATTCTATTTCGGTAGCAGCATATTTGTGTACCAATGGACCAATCAATGTGTACCTATCGCCAAATTCGTGAACTGTAACTGGTACTTTTGTCTTTAAAACTGTGTAAATACCGCCAACTTTTTGATTATTTGATGTTTGAAAGTTGAATTAATTATTAATTCGTAAAATTTTATATTGTGTGGACGTGTATGCGTACGTATGTATATATGTATGTATGTATGTATGTATGTATGTATGTGAACGCGTATAATTTTCTAATTTTTAATTATTAAATTTTATGTTTTTATTATTATTCAATCTTATAATAATATAATTGTTATTTATATACCTTTGTTTGCGACCTCCCATGCAATTTCAAATAATATAGGTTTATCAATATCTCGATGTGGCATATTTATTATATTCTAGTTGAAAATTATTTTCTCGACTTTCCTCTTGATTAAGCAATAAATATATAAAATATATGTTTGCGTTCGTCGGAGTATTGGAATTTACAAAGATGAAATTTTCCCAAAAATTTTCGAAAAAATAAAAATGATTTATTTATATTAAATAACTTAAAAAAAGATAAATTTAGTAAGTCTGATGATCTTTAACTTTATTTGGGACTCCAAAAGGAAAAAAAAGGGGTCATTCGATCAGTGTTCGACGGAATCTGCATACTTTAACCAAATATGGAAATTCATTACAGATAATTTCTAGTTTTATGTTAAGGCGCAGTCAAATTCGAACACTGCATTCAATATTCAACATTTTGACATTTGATGATTCTTGTTTTTTAATGAATTCATATTAAAATCACGTGAAATTTTAAAAAAATCTCCTGATTTTTTTTTCAATATATTTTTTATATATAATTAAATATTGTATACATAATTTTTTTGCACCAAAATAAATATCGTGTGATTAAAAAAACATTTTGCGTGATAAAAAATTACTATGAATTACATGTAAGTTGTGAGAATTTCAAAAAATTTGATGGTTTTTTTGTTAATTTTTATCTGATCGAAAAAAATTTATTTATTTATAGGGACTGTGGAATTATCGTGAGTGTTATTTTTTATTATCAGTATTTTTTATTTTAATTTTAAAAAAAATGTAATGTAAATTTTTCGACAAATTATATAAAAACAATGATTTAATTTTAATCATTAATA